TGGAGGGAGGTGAATCAGGCCAGGCAGGTCTGAACCTATATATGAAGAAGGAGCTTGACGGAACGGAGAGAATGATCAATATCGGTGGTAAGATGGAGCTTGAAGTACAGCCAGGAGAGCGAATTCTTATTCATACGTAAGTATTTCTTCTTTCACATCCTGGAGAACATTACTAACGAGCTTGTGGTTCAGACCTGGAGGTGGTGGCTGGGGAAACATGTCCGATGAAGAAACAGTGGCCTGTGCCGGCAATGGGAATAGAAGCCCATCGAGCTTCCAACCACGAGGAAGTGTACACACATTCACTGCCACGGCTGAATCAGCAATGTGAACGCTCCGTGAGCAGTTTGGGTGCAGTAACATTCGAGAGTAGAAACACGCAGCAATTTGACATACTGAATTATACACCACAATCAATATAGGACCTTCCGAGTATAGCCCGCTCTCAGCTAAAGTAGACCTAAAGATTTGCCTTTGTGCCAGCCAACGCAGTTGTATCCCATCCTTCTGAGCACTCCAGGCCGGCCTTGACATAAGTAAACTTAGACCCAATAACCTCAGCATCATCAGATTTGCGACTATAAGTGGCCAAATCCGCATCCCGGGTCATCTCAATCTTGGTCATGCCATTGCCAAAATAGTTGAACCGATTGCCGAAATATCTTGTTGGCATTATGTTCCAGCCAGTGCCAGAATGCTTTGAGTGCATCAGGGTCATTTGCGAATTTCGCCTTTTCTTCCCCGGTAAAGTTTCGCGGTTGCAAACCAGCAAAGCCAGTCATTGCTATCCAAGAAGGCTCTCGAATGAAAATCGTGCATTTGGAAATCTGTGGCAGGATGGCCGGAAGAATTTGAATACCAGATGATCTGACATCAAGTTCTTGTTAGTTTGGGTTCATCACGCGATGTCTCATCTCAATAGAAAATTACCCATTTCCAATCAACCCAACATGTTTATTTGCCAAATCCAGACTCTCATTCCATGCCGCACTATGTACAAGCTTCCCTTTGAAGTCATGAAGTCCAGGTATCGTTGGCCATCTCCAAGCATTGAGGATACCACCCGCGTTGACCAGAACGTCGCACAAATCATGGATGACAGTGTTCGTCGCACTATCTTTGATATCAATATTCCATTTGGCAGTCGATTCGTCCCACTTTGCCCCAATTATTTGATGTCCTACTTTCGTTTTCTCGCTGAGATTGAACCGAAAATGGAACCCTTTGAAATAATCGAATATCTCCTTGGAAGACGCGTAGGTGCTAGACCATGTAGAATGGGGATCAAACGACCAAACATAGGTGTGGGAAGGATTATCACAGGCACATCCAGGGTATTTGTTTTCGTACCAGGTCCCACCCACATCGGGGTTCTTTTCATAAATTTTTAAAGTCAAGGTCGTCAAAGTTTCGTTGCAGCTTGTAGGCCATGAGCAGGCCGCTAGCTCCGGCTCCGATGATAACCACACGGACGGGACGGTTTGTGTTCAACGGTTTGTCCATTTTGAAATGTGAAACGAGATATATTTCGAGGGATCAACGGCCGCGGTCTTGGGTTGGTATATAACCAGGCGGGAATGCTCAGGGCATAGCCTTCTCTGCGGTGGCAGGTCGGAGGCATATCTCCCATCTCTTCCGGCTAGTAAGTATACTACATGACTGGTGTATGAGCAGTCAAAGTTACTCGTCCCGCGATCTCATGTGGAGTGCTGCAAGGGCTGTGAACCAGTTGCAGAGGATCATCTCACTGGGCTACCAGTCAATCCACCCCCCCAAAAAAGGGAAAGGAAGAGCGGTGTGGGTGACCTATAGAGCACATTTGCATATAACCCAAGAAATGGCTAGAATGCACTTGCACAACTTTGTGATCTGAGAGCCATGGCGGATACAACCGGTTCGTGTGCTGTGGAAGTGTTTCCCCGCATATCAGGAGATCAAATCGCGGCCACTGATAGATCTGAAGAGTTTGACAGCCAATTAGAATTGCACGACCTGCAGAATCATCCCAGCGAACTCTGGAAGCGAGACAAGGGTGGCTAATAATCACCGGCAGCAAGCGGTTGATTGGAATAACAACATTATCGTGTTAGTACGACAGAAGCCACCAAAGCTTCCTAGAAATAATACCTCGAATCTGATGATCAACACAAACTCTTTGACTTCATCACGGAAAGTATACGGCACCTCACGTGATTCGACGGATCTCAACGTTATCTACATCTTGACAAGTATAGGTTAGCGTGAGCTCGCTCCACCTGATAGTACGGTAAGGGAAATTGGTTGGGAATAGGGCTTCCCTTATTCCACGTCTCTAGTCATCTCTATCAATATTGTATGGAGGTGACGTCTAAACAACATTTAAACACAACTGTTGAAACAAGAACTGAAACTGTATTCGCTGTACGGAGTACAAGTAGACCACAGGCTCCTACGTGTCTGGTTGCAGAAACCGGCATCTAACACAAGTGCCCCAATGCAATCAGAACTTAGAACGAAATCCTCAAGACGGTTAGAAGACCCCTTAGTGTAAGATTGGCGTGCTGGCCATACAGGATGGCGACTGATTGCGTCACTAATATAGGTTAAAATCACGACTTCTCCAGGGACAATCGGTGATGTTTGAGATACATGGATTTTGATATCCAATGTAGCATCTAAAATTTCACATTCACACCTTACACTCGTATCTTTCTCGGTAGGTTTGTCTAGATTATTCCGATCAGTGGCAATCTCAGAATCACGGAGCGACGATCAGGGGGCATTGGTCCCACACCTACGCCGTTTTCTAGAAATTTCAGGGTCCGTAAGTAAGATACACGAATTACCCAGGGTTACCCGACCCCTTTTGCACGCCAAGAGGCCCCGACCATTCAAGCTTAAAACTGGCAGCCTTTGCATTGGCCCCCTTAGTGCAATCGCAGGGTGATAATTCGTAGACTAATCTTCTTGGCCCATACTGTACAGGTTTTGGAAATGTACCGGTGACCCCCGATGTATCTGATATGCTCCTTTTATTCCGTACAGTCCAAAACGTGGCCAAGCCCTGCCAGACCAAGATTAAATTATGTCTCGCTTAATGAAGATGCCTTGGCTACGGTCTGGACAGTCCAGATGATTCCCCACAGTGCACCAGGTGTTGCTTACATGTACGTAGACTTGAAACAACATCCGGTCAGCTTCACAGGCTTCGTCATTAATATATATAGAACGATGACGCGCGTAACGAAATCGCAAAAATAATCGCAGCCTCACACAGGCCCTGAACCAAGGGCCAATGTATTTGTACGGACAGTCACTTCAAATGGTTCACTTGTCGATCGCGACCCACTTGGCTGTGAGGAAGTCCATGGGCTAAGATGTTGTCGCCACTGAAATACATTACCCGACAAGCAATCAGGGTTTTGCTTTTCCTGATCATTGAATACGCATATAGGTGCAAGGTTATATATGCTTTCCACGCCTCATTGGGAATATTTGGATTACACTCGCAAATATAAACGTTATGGATGTTATGACCAACACGAACCCCAGCATATAACGGCGAAGGGGGACGCGTGTCCGTGGGGTCCCGTTGGTCTCATTTGCCCCTCCGGGCTATTGTGACTGGTTGACGCGGCTGAGCGTCTGGTCGATCGTCCTCAAGTCATTTCCAGCCTTCACAATCAAGTATAGTTGTCCTTAGCAATACATTTCTTTACAAGTTCTACCCTCCGTATTCCGTAGTTAATTTACATATATAAGTTAGTGTAGTTCGGTACTTTTCCTACTTGGTCCAAGCGCCGACCTTATTCTTTACTCCTATATCTACACTATGGTGACGTGATTTATAGTAATGTTCTGCTCTCATCATGATGAGCTGTCGAATGTTCGGAAATGTGTACTCTGTACTCGCTTATATTTTCCTCCTGGTAGGGAAAACGAGAGAGGGTCCAGGGTATGGAGCTGAATTAGGATCTTAGTGTGTACTCCGTAGTATAACTTAGGTGTAATATACCGACGGCAGAAACATGGTGTATCTAGATCGCGAACTACTTAGGGCTCAAAGGATTTCTCGGCCTGTTTTCCTGTCCGATTCTACGGAGTACACCTTGTTTACTGTAATTATCCCGGGAGATACTCCGATGGAAACATCGGATCGACACCGAGGGGATACCGCATCCGGAATCCGCGAACGGTCATCTTGACCCTGGATAGCTCTTATCTGGGAGGACCTGTGTTGGAACAGACCTGCTGTGTGCGTGTTTGACAAGCACATTGTGGAAGAAAAGATTAAAATATCCCAACTGATCGTCGGTTTGGGATCATCCGTCCGAGTTGCCAGCATTCCTTTTTCCGTCATGATCGACATCGGAGTCAACAGGTACAAAAGACGCACAGGGAAGCGTAGATAGTGAGGTTGGATCAAGGGTTGAAAGCACCGCAAGCAGGAGATAGAGATCAGTATAGAGTAGTAGTAGTAATGTACACTCTGTAGTGATAAGTGAAGTGTAGTGAAGTAGTATACAATATCAAAGGTTATAATTATATATTACCGTAATTACCATACACGGTCATTCCCGTTAATTACTTCGGCCGCCCTCCCTTTTCTTCTTCTCCTTCAACACCTTCACGACTCTATCACTGTTCACTGTTCTCGAGGTCTGGCATTGCCCAGCCGCGTTGTCTCTTCTTTTCCTCAAGCCTGCTTCTTCTCCCCCTTTCTAAAACGCTATCGCCACCCCTTGGAACCGTGTCGCGGGTCCCGACGCTGCCAGCCTCTCGTTGAATATTATCGGCACTAGATTGCCTGCCACTCATTAAATCCACCTTTGGAACACTCGTTTATTTGGCCCTATTTCCTGTTGGGAATCGGTGTCGCATTCTTCACGGCTTTGCTGCACGACGGGATACGAACCCTACAACCCCATAACTTCTAATTCCACTCGAACGCCTCGATTTGTTCGATCTGCCTCTTGTCCTTTTACATGTTCGAAAAGTCCTCAAATACCGGAACCGCCAAGATGCCTCTCTTCCGGCTGAAGACGGTGTTCCCGTTGCTCGCTTTGGTGACGATTGGAATCTTCTTCTTCTGCATGGAACGTTATGACCGGTCTGCCTTCCTCCGGTTTAAGCATCCCATTGATCGGGCCGGTTTCGCTGGCAACAAGCAACCTCAAGCACAGACACCTACACAACCGGAACCCCAGCAGACCGGTAGCACGTGTGAGGTCGACCCCAACCTGGCCGCTCCCCTGCCCTTCCCTGAATGGCTCCCACGCAAGAACTACACCCGCGCCTACTTCCGTCCTCGCCATGTGAACCCTCGCACCGAATTCCACACTCTGGAGGAGATTGAGAAGCCCGTTCTCCCGCCCATGGTTGTCATGGAGCGTGGTATGGTCGTGTCTCCCGAGAACAAGGAGGAGAACTTTGTCTGCCCGGAGATCATCAATGTGGATGTGGCCGCCGATGACGATGTCGAGGAAACCTCCAAGCTTCTCTTTGGTCTGGCCACTACCGTCGACCGTCTGGACCGCCTGCTTCCCTCTCTGCTCTACTCCTACGGAAACACCAAGGCCGGTCTGATCGTTTTAGTCCCCGAGTCTGATGATGATCTGGAGAAGCAGGAGACCTACTTCCGCAACCGCGGTCTGGACCTGACTCTCATTGCCTCTCCCTTGGACTTCACTGCCCGTTACTTTGGTATGGTTGAGGCCTTCACCGAACACATTCGCAAGCACCGCCCCCACACCACCTGGGTTGGATTCAGTGATGACGATACTTTCTTCCTGTCGCTTCCCACTATCGCCGAGGAGCTCAAGCTTTTCGACGAAAAGAAGAAGCACTATATTGGATCTCTGTCCGAGGCCAGCTGGCAGGTGGACACTTTCGGTCACATCGCTTTCGGTGGTGCCGGTGTGTTCGTTTCGAAGCCATTGCTCGACGTCCTGATGAAGTACTACGATGAGTGCCAGTCCTGGGGCGAGCAGCCCGGTGACCAGAAGCTCGGCCAGTGCATCCAACGCTTCGGTGACACTCCTCTGACTTTGTGGCCTTCGCTCTACCAGATGGATATGGCCGACCCCGTCGATGGTGTCTACGAGTCCGGTCGCAAGATTGAATCCATGCACCATTGGAACAGTTGGTATACCAAGGACGTGGTCAAGATGACCACCGTCTCTGCTGCTGCTGGTCGCAAGTCGGTTCTCCGTCGCTGGGTCTTTGACCAGGAAGAGACTGTGAATAGCGCCACTGGCGAGACTCTCCGTCACTTCTGGGTTATGACCAACGGATACTCGCTGGTGAAGTACACATACGGTGAGTCCGTGCCTGACGATGCCATCAATTTTGATGCCACCGAGAAGACATGGCCCGAAGACCCCCGCGGTTACGAGGACCGTCTGGGTCCCCTCCGTCCCGCCGAGGAGGAGGGTGTCTCCAAGGACCGCTGGTTGCTTCGCGATGCCTTTGTGGTTGGTGACAATGTGCACCAGTACTATGTCCGCGAGGAAGACGAGGGCCACAGTGTGATTGAAATCGTCTGGCTCGGTCCCAAGGGCGGCGGCGGTGGTGGTGTCAGTGACCATTACATTCGCGGCACTTACCAGCAATAAATTGCTCCGCTTCCACTTAAGGCTGGTCCTTGGGACTGTTGATCGTACACTCTCTTCACTTCGTTGCACATGATTCGGCTCTTTTTCCCCCTTTATTTTTCTAAACCTTTATACGCTTCGACTCGTCACGACACCAGCCCAAGACATTGCATCGGCCAACACAGCCTATTTCTTTCCGGATGAGACTCGCGATCGTGACTTGCCCTCCGCGTCCTCCAGTTTCTTACTCATTATCCGGCGTTGCATTGGCGGAGTCTAGTACGGTGCAGGAAGTGGCTTTGCCTTCTTCCAATATCCTAACGGTGTATCCCATTTTTGAAATGTTCCGCGGCTTTACTCTTTTCTATTATTTTTTTCTCCCCCATGAGGAGGTTGGTCACCTCCAATCATTCTGGCCGTCTTATATGTCTTTCCTTTATTCTTTCCCATCTCGTCTTTCAGTGCGCTTCAGGGGAGAAGCCACTTCCATCCTCTCTGCCTTGCATCTTTTCTGTAAAAATAGACTTGACTGCAGACCCGTGTTGCGGTCTACGTTGGTGATTAGCGTTGAACCTTTGTTCATTATGTGAAGAATATGATCAGTTTCCGTCATTTCAGTCTGTATCTTCCCGTATCCAACCTCGGAAGCAACCAGGGAGCTGGCTCTGTATCGGGTCTAGGGCCTCACGGACCGGGCCGCGGATGATCGGCTTTGGTTGCTTTGTTTCCCATGTGGGTTCGGAAGGTCGTGGACACGAACTGTGGGCTGTGGCCGAAATGGTTTTGGTGTCTGTTGCCGGTGGAGTATAAATATGGAGTAGAGGGCCATGAATTGGGGCTATTTAGCGCACATGCCCTGAAGTAAGCAAAAGTATAAAGTCCGTCGGGGTTTCTCTGGTCTTTAGTACCCTGTCAGTGGGGATATATATACTGCGTTTGTTTTGTTATGGACCTTCGAATGTAAGCCTGAGACACTGCATATCAGGGGTTTGAATTCTAGAGTGCAAGGGGAAATCATTCGGGCCTTATTCGCCGGCTCTTTGGAACTGGGGCCAAGACTCGCCTAGTATGTCCCCCGTAGGCTCCCATAGGGCACACTCAGCTGATGAATGTGAGATCGGCCTCTTATGGCCGAAACCAGAACGGAATGACAGTGTAGCAAAGGGGGAATACCCTATGGCTGCAGACGGGCTATGGAATGAGATGGCCAGATAGGCCCATTCCATAGGGTGTGACCCGCGCCTGTGTAACTTAGTGAGTTCTTTCTGTGGCAATGTTTTTGATATTACATTCAGCAGTACTGTAGTACCTGTAGTGCACTGTTAACTGAAGTGGCAATCTCGAGAGTTTTCAATTTCCAGTTTCCCCGGTATAAAGATCAGCCAATCAGGGCACATTCCTGAGAAAGAATGTACTAAGTATAGATTCACTTCACTGTCTTCATTCTACTCTAAACCTCTACAATATGCTCTACTTTATACTCTACTTTATCTATACTCTTTGGCAAAGAGTCCAGACCGGGGGAAACGGACGAACGGCAACCAATCAGCGTCTAGAGTGACCAATTAGCGCCTCGTGCCAAGGCTCGTGCTGAGGCAGTGACAGTACCGTACAGTATCATACCTGTGAATGGAGGGGGTGGTACCTCCAGATAGCAGTCAAGCCCACCCATAATTAAGTACCCTCACTAAGGCCACCTGTACCCGTACCAGCCGCACACGTGACAGACCGCCTGCCTCTCGCAACTCGCACTTTGCCTTCTTCGCTCCCCTTCCCCCATTCCCTTTCTTTCTCCCATAACGCGTTACTCGATTGGGTCATCTCCTCCCCTTTCGGTATCCCCCCCCCATATTCCACCTTTTTTGCTCTTTTGCTCTCAATATGTCTGCCGTACTTGATGATAAGCTCTCCCCTGGTCATGATGACCTTCAGGCCGGGCCTGAACGGGGCACCAAGCGCAACCGCATGAGCGCCGACGATGAGGACGACGACGATGACAAGCCCGGTCGTGAGCGTCGCAAGATTGAAATCAAGTTCATTCAGGATAAGTCGCGTCGCCATATCACGTTCTCTAAGCGCAAGGCTGGTATTATGAAGAAGGTACGCGTTCCGCTCGAGTTTCGAGATTCCGAGGCTCTCATTATACTTCGAATACATTCGAACTATAGGACTTGGCAATTTGAGGACTTCGACTAACCACCTTTTCGACTCTAGGCATACGAACTTTCGGTTCTCACCGGCACGCAGGTGCTCCTCCTGGTCGTCTCCGAAACCGGCCTCGTTTACACTTTCACCACCCCCAAGCTCCAGCCTTTGGTCACGAAGGCCGAGGGCAAGAACCTGATCCAGGTAGGCTACTGTCCGCTTCAATGGTTCTTTTAATGCATTTACTAATCTGATAAAAGGCATGCCTGAACGCCCCCGACCCCGCCGCTAGCGAGAATGGCGTCGATGCCCCCGATGTCGCCCCCGAGGCTCCCGAGGACGTGGCTCACAACAATGTCAACGCACCACAGGGCAACATGCGCCCCGGAATGCACCCTGGCTACATGACCAACGAACAGCAGCAGCAGATGGCGTACTACCAGAACCTCCAGCAGCAGCAACAGCAGGCTGGTGGCCAGTACCCAATGCCCGTCGGAGGCCGGATGCCCCCGCAGCACCAACCCACTGCTTAAATTTTACGATCTGATCTGTCGACCCCTTCGGGGTCCCAAGGTCCCAGATGCTGCGTGTTCTTCTCTTGTGTTCTTTTCCTCTCTGCGCCTCGATCTCTCGCGTTCTTTGATACCCGTCTCCCTCTATGCTGATCCGTCATCCCACTCTCCCCTCGGAAACCCTCGGAAATGGTCTCTGTACCATTCTTCCAGGGCTCTCGCATAAAACCATTTGTGTATTGTCAAACACCTGGTCCCATCCAGTCCACCTTTGATGATACTGGATCTGGTTTTCCCTTTCAACATTGCCTTCCGGGAAAAGGAAAACAAAAAAACAACTTGCTGAGAACCATGGCTTTCGAAATAACAAAACCTCCCAAAAACATAAGAAAAGAGAAAGAGAGCGCAAGCAGACAAATTTGGGCTTCATTGCTAATCTGGTTACTGTTTTCCCCCCTCTACCTAGACAATGGCGGAGGATGGTGGTGTTCGTGGTGCATTGAATATTGTCGGCGAAGTGGTTTTCCTCTCTAGTCTTTTTTTTTCAATTATCTTCTGATTCACACACTTCTACTGGTTATTGTTCTGTTTATTTTCTCATTGTCTAATCTCAAGTGTGTTACTTGTTTCTTTTTTTTTTTTTTCCACGCCGTATTGGCCTGATTCTGGCCAATTTCAAGTCATGTCTGTCCACTGTTGACTCTGGCTGGGTTGTCTTTATGGTGGTTACTTGTATGGTATGGAGAAATCGGATCCTATTCCTTGGACTTGTCCTTGTTGTACTCGTAGTCTACGTCCAGTAGAGAAGTATGGGCACCTCGATGATTTGAGTGATATTCATTGGTGTGATATACTTTATATCCTCACCGTTGTAATTGTAGGGCAATTATGCGTTCGAAGGCCTGCTATCTACATGTGTAGTAGCTTAATGTTTCAACGACTTGGTCTTCCAAAACAATTATTTTGATGCAATGAGCGGGTTGCAGACATGAAAAAATAAAAAAAACTTCATGATTGTTGGTATTTACAAAGCCAATGATACCGTTTATACATTACATCTAGACACGAAACACGTAATATTGAATGCCAACGCACAGTTTGTTTCGATATACACATACGCATGCAATGACATATAGCTCTACTGGAAGTCTACGGACGGTCGATTTATCAGCATCCTATATTCATTTGTACGGAGGTATATAATCAGCAACTGTGGTATCATAGTATCTTGACAGAAGAAAGTGAAACACAAATGGAAAATCGAGAGCGAAGGGTTCTCGAACAATTGGTGGCATGAGCGCGTTGGGCTCGTTATGTTCAGATAGGAGTTACTGTACATGGATGGGGGTTGGAAGATAGCAAGGGCGGATTGTGTTGGATGAGGGTGAGCGATGAGCGATGAGAAAAGGGTCGTGGGTTGGATAGATTGCAGGGTAGGTAGAGGTTGTTGGGATGAGATAATGGAGAGTCCCATGAGAATGACTATGGCTGAACAGGGCCGGATTCGGATTCGGTGACTTCTTGGGTATACCGTGCTCGAGGATGAGTTGCAGCCTGGGGAAGTATGTCTTGTGGGTCGGTGTGGGCCTGGTTGCCCGCCTGCGAGCTGCTCCATCGAGACAAATATTGTCTCCCGGATTCCCAGGCTCCTGTCAGGGCCCTCCTCGGTCCAGCAAGAAAGCCAGATCTTGCGGCCGGAGAACGGGTGTCATCATGCCCGTGAGTATCATCGGTATCTTCTTGGATAGTTCCGTACCCGCCAGGTAGGGCGTCAGACGTGGAATTGGACATGCCCCATGCGCTGCGTCGTTGGCGTTTGGCGGCGGAAATCCCACCGAATGGTGCCGAAATTCGACGCCGCTGGTTCTCGCGCCCTGACACCAAGACTCGGCGAGATCCCCACCCTCGATCGTGCGTGGTGGCGCCGATCGTTGAGTGTCGCGCAAGCCCTTGTCGTGGACCATGGAAGGTTACACTGCCACTGGTGTTGCGTGGGTGGTCTGCGGAAGAACGACGTTGTCCATCGGCGGAGTCATAGTCGGAATCGTCTAGTTCCGCCCAAATAGAGGCCGGATTCAAGTCGACAGAGTCAGGATGATCAAGATGGAGATTGAGCGGTAAACTCGGGGCTCGTCCTCGTTGATATGAAAGATGGCGGGTGTTCGTATTCGTGTTGAGAAGGGGTTCGCGTTCTCCGACATGTGCTTCTTCATCCTCGCCGTCCAGCAATCGAGGTGATGTCGGAGGGTGCTCTTCCACAACTGCCATACCGGGCCCAAGTGCAGTCTGCGTGGGTCCCAAGGCGCTAACGGCAGCGTGACTATCGATATCTTCCAATCGCCAAGAAAGACACAAAACACCAGCCAGGAGAACAATTGTTCCCAGAGCAATGAGACCGGCGTGAAAGCCCGCCAGCTGAGACACTTGCCGGAAGTAGATCAGCCCATCCATGATGGCGATGATGTTGTAGATGCAAAACACGAACGGGTATAGAACACTGGTGCTGCACAACTTTAGTCCGCGATGAAGATAGAACAACTGTGTTAGTGCTAGGAATATCATCCCCAGTAGGATCACCCATGACTGCCAACGGTTGAACTGGTTTACACGGTCAACTACCGTGCGCACCAGCAGCTCCACTGCCGACTTGGCCAAAAGAAGCGAATGGGCAGATAGAATACCACTGATAAAACCATAGGACATGCCACGGATCAACTTCATTCGGCTTTGCAGTCGCAGCAGGTGTGGCGTAAAATGCCCAGAGGCCGAGGGCTTCGCGCGTGACGAAGGAAGGAAGAGTTTCAGCAGTTTTGAGGCTATCAATACAGCCGCCACCAAAAGAGTAGTTCCACCCATCCATAATAGGAACGGGCGTCGTTGTAGAAGATCCAGAAGTTGGTCTAAGGTATGTGCCGGTTCCCCGATGGCGCCAAATGTCGCAATCAACAATGCGCCTATGCAAACGAGCACTGTACCGGCGAGGGAATATCGGGTGAAAGGTTCACCGAGGATCAGCGTCGCGAATATCGTATTGAAGACTAGTCCGGACTGTTTGGGATTCCCATCAGCAAGTGACGTCCGCCACATGTGGAGGGGAACTGACCGCTTGAAGCGTGGAGAGCACCGGAAGTGGCAGCGTGGTAATTTGAATGGTGCTTCCCACGATATTGGAGACCACAAACATTCCCATTCCTACCTGCCATCGTCGGCGTTTGTAGGGGGGTCTGCGCACATCGTATGGGTGCTTCTCGTCCTCGAGTAAATGCGACTTCCGCTGCAGGGTGAGTCCGATGGCCTGGAGGCTAGTTGAGATCAGCCCAACGATGACACCGACCTGATCTTCGTCAGCTGTTGACTCTGTATAGGAATCCTGGGATCTGTGTTCATACGGCAACGCTTCCCTCCGGCGACAAGTCACCTAGATTGCCCATGTTGCGTATCGTGCATTGGTCAAATAGAGAGTAGGAAGAGGTTCCAGCGAAGAAACTATCGGAGTAAAGATGCCATGGCTAAAATGAGGTATAATACAGAGAATAGAGGTATCCAAGGGAGGTTGAGGAGTGCGGAGGGCTGGATGCGGAACGCCAAGGCAAGTCCGAGCTTAGTTGGACACAACATCCTTTCCTCTTCCCCACGTCATTCCATCAACAGTCACATTTAATCCGCCAAAATGTCACAAAGCCATGCTCTTTCCGATGATCAGGTGGGTTTGTTCTGTACGTCTCGGAAAGCTTGAGTCTAACTGATGTCGATAGGTCGCGGGCGAGCTCCGCAAGATGACTGCGTTCATCCGGCAAGAGGCCCTCGAGAAGGCCCGCGAGATCCAGTTGAAGGCCGACGAGGAGTTTGCTATTGAGAAGTCCAAGCTCGTGCGCCAGGAGACCGCCGCGATCGATACCCTCTACGAGAAGAAGTTCAAGCAGGCCGCCATGTCCCAGCAGATCACCCGCTCGACACTCGCCAACAAGACCCGTCTTCGCGTGCTCGGAGGTCGCCAGGAGCTGCTCGATGAGCTCTTCCAGACCGCCCGTGAGAAGGTTTCCAAGGTGGCTGCCGACGACAAGAAGAAGTACCAGGATATGCTCAAGGGGCTGGTCCTCGAGGGCCTATATTATCTCAACGAGGACAAGGTCGCCATTCGCTCGCGCAAGAAGGATTATGATATTGCTAAGAAGGCCATGGAGGAGGCTGCCAAGGAGTACAAGGACAATGTTGGGTCGGAAGTGACTGTGACCGTGGACGAGTCGGAGCCCTTGCCCGAGGGATCGTAAGTGCCTCCTATCCGATTTAAGATTATGAAGATGATCTAACAGATTACAGCGCCGGTGGTGTCGTTATCATTGGTGGGAATGGCAAAATTGAGATCAACAACACCTTCGAGGAGCGTCTGCGACTGCTGGAAAGCGATGCTCTCCCCTCGGTCCGACAGACACTGTTCGGGAAGAACCAGAACCGGAAGTTCTACGATTAAGCGTCTTCTTGTCTCTTGGATTCCACATTGGCGACTGTATTTTGTGTGTTATAGTTCCGATACTTTTTGCTCCTCTTGGCTTTCATAGACGGGGGATTTCTCTGCACAGTATGAGTCTGGTCTGGAATATGATCAAGCTTTTTTAGCGGTATGTTCGCTCTATATCAGTAATGACTTCGTGGTATTTGGTAGAAAATGCTTCAAACATGCTTCGCTCTTACGGATGAAAAAGGTCGTTAGTCATTTCGGGGGGAATTCAAGGAAGGTTTCGGTCCATGCGTGTCTGTCCCAATAGATAATCACGAGATTTGGTCATGCTTGCGGATGGGGATTTCTGTCTCCCCTAGAACCTGACCGACTAGCGCTGATGACTCCGTTTGTGTGATCTCCATGCTCCTCCCAGTATTAATGGATGGGCTGCCGAACAAGCTCCGAATGTTACCATCTCTCTCTGTGGCGTATGACTTGAACAGTGTTTTCTTCGGCGGTGGCTTTGACCGGACCGAATAGACAATCCGGTAGTGCAAGGCCTCTAGAGCTTCTTTGGCTAACATCCGTTTGAGATGCGAGGCACCTGAATCCTCGATGGAACTAAAGATCAACTTGATCTGAGCTGCCAGCTTGTCGATGGCAGCATTATAGTCCTTTTCAGTTTGAGTCACTCTGTATCTCAAATCCAACACGGATGAATCGATTGCGACGTTGAGGAGAGCGGTGATGGCAATCAACTCTCCGTAATCATAGTCGCCTTTCCCTTTGAACAGTTTTACATGGAACCGCTCATCGCGAAGTAGGACCATCGTGATGCGTTTGAGATCAAGCACATCTTCAGGGGGCTCAGTCAGCGGGCTGGGGCTTTTCAGTAAAAATGAAATAGCGAGGCGACATCGCAACAGAGCAAACCATGGAGACGTTGGTAGTATGTGGTGAACGACTCGGCTCTGTATGCAGACATCTGTGACTGTATGGTAGAAAGTTTGGGAAACTCGAGACAACTACTTTTGTTAGTCATCGATAGATGAAACATTGAAATAGAAAAAACTAACCAAGTCTTCCCCATTTATATCAGTAAAGGAATCCGGGTCGAGCACGGCATTGATGGTCCACTGGAGCTCCGAGGATATCATAAAGTCTGCTGTTAAAGACAAGTCAAGCGTAAGCCGCAGTAGAAGGAGCACGACTCGCTCTTGGGTATCTTCTGCAAGTCTGCGATTCTGTGAGCCTTGGTATATGAGCAGGGATGTGTTAGAGTGGCTTACAAGTCGGCAATTTCTCGGAACAACTTGAGGATTGAAATGAGAACGAAGCCGTCCTTCAGCCCGGAGTCTGCGGTGATTTCTATCGCAAGCATCAGCGGAATGAAGACGAACAAGCAGGAGAGTTGAACTACCTTGTAGCGGTATAGGCGTAATCGCCATGGAAGGATCCAATGACTGGGACCTGGCCCCTAATCGCGTAAAAAGGTCATCGATATCAGCTGGACGGATAAGTGATCTGAGATGGTTCACATCAACGCCCTGGCATTTCTGGTTAGTCGACTTCGCGGCAATTGAGTATAGAAACTTCTGCAAACCTTGAGAATTCGGTAATAAGCGTTGCTCATTTCGCTTCGACGTTCGTAGGGAACTGAAAGACAGTAAGCGTTGTGCATGAATGTAGCAAGATGTGAGACTAACTGGAACGAAAAATCCACACGATTAACTTGTCCGGCAAGAGCCCCTTGCACAAAGCCATCTGGATAAATTCCCCTGACATGAATAGACGCTCGCGAGCTTCAGGATCTGCAAGAAAGTCATCCAGATATGTTCCACCCGTGAATAGATGCTGTGGAAATTCTGGAGCCGACGGCAACTTTTGTGTCACATCGAAAAATCGCCAGGCTCGGTCGTGGTCCAGGGCTTCGGTTCTCCTAACAGCATCCAGCAGGCGCTGTAATCCAATACCACTATCACTGTCGTCACCCAGGGCCGAAGTCAAGACGCCTTCATTCAAACCTCTCTTAACGCCGGACGTGCTATCATTGCCATCTGGTGAGTTCTGCGTAAACTTGGCTTTTAACCGAGCAACGTTGGCTTCAATCTCGTTATCATCCACTGCGTCGTAGACGAGAGAGTCGATTGTGTGCTTGTACTTTTTAGGCGATGTCTTTTTGAGCCCCGTTTTCATTCCCACTGTGCCCGAGACAGACTCGGGCTTCTTGGATATCGGGGCAAAGAGACTGGCTGGATCATCCAATGAACAGATCGAATCCGTGTCTTCTCCGTCGGAACTGATGACTACCTCTTTGCCGTCTTTGACAATGCGCTGAGACCCGCCAAAACTTTCATTGAGAGATGAGACTGTCGCAGACTCGGTACTTTGGAAACTTTGCCACGTGGGTGGTTGCGAGAAGCTCTCCTGGGCTGAAAGATACAGCGTGCGATTCAACTGAGCCTCGGCCTCATGTTCTGATTCCGGAGAAAGATTACTTATTATGGACGACGAGGGCTCAGTGAGGGGTGAAGACTCGGGTGCGAGTTTATTGGAGCCTTTCTTGCTTTCTGATGTGCGATTATGGTTTGCCCGCGAGAACGACGGCTTGTTGAAAAAATCAGTGATGGGCCGCATCATGGGCATCTGAACAAAGATAGAAAGAGAAGAGGGGCACCGTGGAGATTGGCGCGTTGGCGCGTTGGAGTATCGCGCTGTCACATGACGCCAACTGACTCAGCACAAACCAATTGAACCTACATCTACAAGTCCTTGAAGAGTAACTTAAGTTGAGTCACTGATTTGATCTCTGTTGTAGAAGTCATGTTCGAATTGTGCTCGTTGTGGCGACATATCTATATCCCTCGAACCAGATCTGCCACATTCCTATGTGGCGTCGATCTGCGGCTAGTGATCTGACTACTGTATAGTAAATACGAGGGTTATGGACCGTAGAGTGCCACTGAAGTATTTGGACAGTCTCCACACAGAATCCACGCGCTTCGAAGCGAGTATATGTTGTTCCCGCTCTCCTTTTGCTTCTCACCTCGTTTTTGCCCATTGCCTAGAGCCAACCCTAGAGGATGTTTACTGGCAGTATAGCTGTCCACCCATCTAAGAGGCTCTACTATACCATATACTGTACTCCGGAGCCGAAGCACAGTCTTGTGTTTGATCGACAGACTTGAAACTGTTATTTCTGGCGTGCCTATCAGGGGTAGCAATTGAGTTTAGCCCAAGAGACGGCAAATGGATCCACCATAGTATAGTTCGCGGCTGCCATGTTATATAGACCAGGACTGGTTCACCCTTGCCTCGAGATCTGTACCCGTAAACTTTTCAAGTAAAACCAATGGCCAGTGAGACTTGGATATACCAGGAGCTATGGGGCTATATGGGGTTGTATGGGGTTATCGAGCTTAAGGGGGAATGGCATTCTGGACAGTAAAGTGATCATCCTGGGTCCGCTCAGAAGTACCATTGTTTTCTCCTGAAAGACCAAAAGCCTACTGTATTATGGCCCACGCCAAGAAATAAGGAGACGAGGTGCATACGGGCCCTTTAACGAACAAAGAAAGGCATTTATTTGACAGTACGAAGCATTTGACACTAAGCCTCCAGATCTCATCCAACCGAGTCACAGATCACTTACCCAAAAAGGAGAGCTGACTCAGGTGGATCTGGATACGCTCGTGCCGTGTTGGTGGTTTCAGGCTCGATGCCCCGACCCCCCGGCGCTTGGGTGATATCATTAGGGGCTATATCGGCAAAGTCCTCTTGCAATTTCCTGGTTGTTACAACTATAGGAAGTCAATTTATGCTCTTCATATACCACTCAACTATATAGTTCGTGCGTACACAATACAGGCAAGTAGGTGTGACCTGGGTAGCGGCTTTCAGAGGGGGAAAAAAAAATAAAAATTAAGAGGCCAGCTCATCTCTACATTAGATGCATGAAATAAAGGACTAAGCGGGGGCCAGAAACACGGCAACCAATAGCTACGTTCTGCAGGGTAAGCTTACAGTACACGGAGTGAAGAACTGGAGAGAACGGGAATCATAATGCTGCACAGTTCTGTGCATTAATCAGTAATAGCAAAAGGGGAAACATGGGACATCCGCAGATCTGTTTCCCTGGATCCTGGATCCGAGTTGCCGATGATCCTATCCCGGTTGCCACTGTCAGAAATTTCGAAGGGCTGGGAGGAACGGGGCTGGATATTAGATTACCGCACTATACGGAGTACATTTACACCAGCTCCGAGGCCGTAAGCCCTAATGCCGTGAATGAATGCACGAATAAGACGATAGCAAAACAAAAGGTGCCTGAAAAGGAGAAGTGGCAGTGTCAAGAAACACTCGACGCGTGTAAAAAAAAGAGTAGTGCCAAGTCGGAGTCCCGGGATGTTTGACTAAGCAGGCATGTTGGTAAGCCGTAACAGTACGTTACTACAATCCTCGTAAGCCCGTTCACTCCCTCTTCACTTCCCTCGAGAGAATTCCCTCTAGCTTCATTACTCTATCTCTTTGAATTTGCTTGAATGGCCCCGCGTGGGAGTACCCTTTAATCCCTCGCCCTTCGCTTGCCCCAACTCGATCGGCCGAAACCCTGTTCTACAGCCTGGACCAACCCTCGAATCTCTCGCCTGGAACGTCCTGAAAGCGCGCCTATCGCTGCTCTGTTCACTGATTCTTTGTACAACCAAGGACAGTGCGCTTTTGTAGGCCTCATAGCCTGCAAACACAGCCAAATCGACAATCCCCCTTCGCGCCCGGCGCCATCGGATCACGGCCCTGCAAACCGGATGCTCGTACTTTGCCGGCAACCAAGGTTTTTGTCAAGTTTTATGCCCTTGAAGGGCGCACCAGTAGCCTAGATGGCTTCCGTGCACTTCCCTGGGGAGAATGTGGAGAGCAACAATGAGCAAGGTGGTGATATCCGAGAGGTCAGCAGCAACGTATCTAAACCCACGAAACGACAAAGATGGGCAACCACTCGAGTCCCCGGACATGGAGGAATCAAGAAACGGGTCTCCATTATCGATCGCTTTCATAAGCGGTCAGATATGAGAGAGGAAAAGCGAAAATCGAACAACACAAGCGCCTCAACCAACGCCGGCTCGACCGACGGCGATGAGAACCCGGAAGGTGGACCAAATCGGAGGGTCTACTTCAGTATCCCGATTCCAGAGTCCGAACGAGACGAAGACGGCCATCTGCGAATCACCTATCCTAGAAACAAAATCCGTACCGCGAAGTATACAGCGCTAACCTTCGTCCCCTACAACCTCTGGTTGCAATTCCACAACATCGCGAACATTTACTTCTTGTTCGTCATTATTCTTAATGTACGTCACATATTTGCCCCTCTTGGATTTCACCCGAGTTTCCTCTGACTGATATGCTCTAGTTCTTTCCCATTTTCGGTGCCAACAACCCCGGTCTGAACGCCGTTCCTCTGATCGTCATTATTGTCGTGACGGCTATCAAAGACGCCATTGAGGATTGGGGTCGAACGGTGTCCGATAACCAAGTGAACAATTCCCCTGTTTACAGACTGGTCGACTGGAACAACGTCAACTCGACTGAAGACAACATTGGGTTATGGCGTCGTGTCAAGAAGGCTTGTACACGGGGTACAATCTCGTCATATAAGTGGATTGCATCTCAGTTCAAAAAGAAGGATGTCGGAGAGGAGGACGAGGAAGGACAGCGACGCCAATCCTTCATGAGCACCGCGGATCCTCGAGCATCGATTTATACGCAGCGCAACTCTATGGCCGCGGAAGATGTCGCCATCCCAATGACTGATGTTCCGTCGCCTCAACCCGAAGCCCGCGAAGATTGGCCGATGATGAACAATCCAGAGAACAAATACTTGTCCCCGAACAGCGCAGCCCGCGAGAGCGTTGTGGAGCCTTTGCCAGACAAGAAACATGGAACTGTTTTGGATATGTCCAAGCAAACGCCTGGAAAGGCTCGCTTCAAGCGAGACCAATGGAAGAGTCTGCAAGTTGGTGACTTTGTTCGCTTGTATAACGAAGACCCAATCCCCGCCGATATTGTCATTCTCTCTACATCGGACCCAGATGGCGCCTGCTATGTCGAAACTAAGGGACTAGATGGAGAAACCAACCTGAAAGTTCGCCAGGCTCTTCACTGTGGTCGCCAAATCCGACATGCTCGAGACTGCGAAAAAGCCGAATTTGTGATTGAAAGTGAGGCGCCCCATGCCAACTTGTACTCTTACAACGGTGCCGTCCGCTGGGACCAGCGTGACCCGAGTTTCCCAGAGGCTCCTCGGAAAGAGATGGTAGAGCCCATTACAATCAACAACATCTTGCTCCGTGGTTGCAACTTGAAAAGTACTGAATGGGTCCTGGGAGTCGTCCTTTTCACCGGCGGAGAGAGCAAGATTATGCTCAACTCCGGTGCAACTCCTGCAAAGCGCCCTCGTATGGCCAAGGATCTCAACTGGAACGTCATTTACAATTTCTTCATTCTCTTCCTCATGTGCCTGGTCTCTGGTATCGTGAACGGAATTGCGTGGGCAGCGCCAGATAAATCTTTGGACTTCTTCGATCTTGAGTCTTATGGAGACACACCTCCTGTGACCGGCATTGTCACGTTCTGGACAGCTGTTATTCTGTTCCAGAATTTGGTTCCCATTTCGCTATACATCTCGCTCGAAATTGTGCGCACTATTCAAGCTGTTTTCATCCACAGCGATCTCTACATGTACTATGAAAGACTCGGCATCTATTGTGTTCCCAAGTCTTGGAACATATCAGATGATGTCGGTCAAGTTGAGTACATTTTCTCTGACAAGACTGGTACTCTGACACAGAACGTCATGGAGTTTAAGAAGTGCACAATCAATGGCGTCTCGTATGGCGAGGCTTACACAGAAGCTCAGATTGGCATGAGGCGTCGCGAGGGAGCCGATGCTGACGCGGAGGCTGCCCTGGCCCGACAACAAATTGCTGCCGATGGGCAGGAAATGCTTCGAAACTTGCGTCGCATTCACGACAATCCTTACCTGCACGACGATCAGCTGACCTTCATTGCTCCGAAATTTGTCGCCGATCTGGATGGAAAATCTGGCGAGCAACAGAAGCAGTCTGCCGAGCACTTCTTCCTGGCTCTCGCCTTGTGTCACACTGTCATCACCGAACATACCCCTGGCGACCCCCCTCAGATCGAGTTCAGGGCTCAGTCCCCTGATGAGGCTGCGCTAGTCAGTACCGCTCGAGACTGTGGTTTCACTGTTCTGGGTCGAGCCGGTGACGACCTTCTCCTGAATGTGATGGGCGAGGAACGCACTTATACCGTTTTGAACACCCTCGAGTTTAACTCGTCCAGGAAACGAATGAGTGCGATTATCCGAATGCCTGATGGCTCTATCCGCCTGTTCTGCAAGGGTGCTGATAGCATCATCTATTCTCGTCTTTCCCGTGGCAAGCAGCAAGAACTCAGACGTCAGACTGCAGAGCATTTGGAGGAATTTGCTAGAGAAGGTCTCCGAACTCTCTGTGTTGCCGACCGCCTACTTAGCGAAGAGGAATACCAGACGTGGGTCAAGGACCATGACATTGCTGCTGCTGCGATCACCGATCGTGAGGAGAAGCTCGAAAGGG